ACATTAAACATAGACCAAAAGACGACAGAGGAGGGAGGGGCGGGGCGGCTGTCGCCGTGCAGCGCAGATGTCCTGCGTCTGACCTCAAAGTGCACAAGCTTCAAACTTCAGCGTTGGCTGCGATTTTGAAGCTGAAATCGCGTTCGGTGTGAACGCACCATAATGTAGCAGGACCCACTTGGATTTCTTCTCAGAACTTTCTTCTTGTTTCTGACTCCAGTCAGTTTGACAGCACAGACAGCCTATGGCCTTGGCTTGTACCAGGAAAACACAAAAATCCATATCAGCAGTCCAGCAGTCCTGAGCTGATCGAACAGAGAGACTGCAAAACCAAACTTCTCCCCATACCATAATGATTCAACCTTAAAACCTCTTCAGGCTCTTCCTGGTCACACCTCTGAAGATGGACTTTTACATCAGAACGTAAACAGCTTTTGTTCACACCGACAGTAACACACACCAACTCTCATTCTGTTAAACTTAAGGCTGCAATGATCAGAAAGAATAAAAATACAATACTGCATCTAACATTTAGCTGATACTTTATAAAATTTCCTTCATGCCCGTATGTGCTACAACCCTTACAAATAATGGCGAGGGTGGACATCTCAAGATAGTGTGAAGCATTTTTAGACGTTGACGGAAACCGATTAAATCTTTAACATTCTCTTTTTGTGAAAAAGTGTTTGTAGTATTTTAAATAAAGTGTTGTTCAGTACAACTGGCCATGTGTTTTCAAACCTTTGTGATGCAGTAAAGGATGAGGACCAACATAAAACGAATGTGTTGGTGAACACGTGCTTCTTGCTTATCCACTTTTGCCATCTGTCTCAAAACAGCAAGTAAAGCTGACCAGTCCAGACTACGAAAACTGTGATAAAGAAGAGGCTGTGGCTGACTTCCTGAAGAGGATTGAATGTTATCAACTCAGCTATGTTCCCCTGGATGACAACAAGGACAGGTAAAAACATTGCCTTATTSAAATCTGTGTCAGATCATAATTCAGTTTAGTGTTATTTGAAAGAGGACAACACAAACCATACAAAATAATACCAAATAATGCCAGCATTGCTTTTTATAAAGAACTTCTTAAGCTAAAATTGATAAAATTACTTGCACCCCTTGAAGCTGTTTCCCATGCCAGAAAATTAGACTCAGACCCTCTTATTTTGAGAAATGACAGGTGTAATCATTCCTTCTCTTATTTTCTAAGCCACTTCACTAGAAAACAGAACTGAATGTTAGTTTAGTTTCTTCATCATCAGTGACAATTTTTAATAGAAGAGAAATAAAGAAAGAGAAGAAGATTGAAAGAGAGATTAGATATGTGAAATATAAACCAAGAAAACACAAGACAACACACCCAAAATCTGTCTGCACACCTGTAAAAATGGAGAAAACAAAAACACAGCAACAAATAATGTGTATAT